ACCCTGTGTTTTATAACTTTTGTGGTGGATATTTCAAGAAGTCTTTGCTCAGAGTGGTCATCCTACCACCTAAATTTCCTGATTAGTGGGGATTAGAAACGTGCGCCGTGTTTATTGTATGTATTAGTGCACGCGTGGGCTGCCATTTGGAGGTAGGGGAATAACTTATTGGAGTTAGTTACCTCCTAAGATGAAGATATTGTTGGGTCCTCATTTGAGAACAGGCCCCGACCTACTAAACGGTATCACTAGATCGCCCGTGACATTTGGGGGTGTGGGCAGTAAACAGGGAAAACAGACACTTGTTTGTGTCCCGCCTGCTTGACTTGATTCCACGCCAGTCTCCAAACCACTTGCACAGATACATACCACCATTCCTGCTGGGAAAAAAAAATTAGTAATAGGTCTTTAGAAAAGTCTTGCTTATCTTGGGGATGAGGGCTAAGTTGATGAAAAGTGGAAATTTTACCTCAGGGATGGGGGATTTGTAGGAGAATGTTGACTATCCTAAAAATAAGCATGCTAAGAGTTTGCTTGCTTGCTTGCTTGCTCTTTGCTTTTCGGTTTTTGTTTTTTTCAAGACAGGGTTACTCCATGTAACTAGCTGTCTTGGAACTCTCTTTTAGACCAGGCTGGCCTCAAACTCACAGATCCACCTGCCTCTGTCTCCTTACTAAATGCTGAGATTAAAGGTGTGCACTACCACCACCCAAGAGTTTACTTGGCAATCTTAATTTTAGATAAACACACGATAGCCTAGAGTTAGCTTTGTTTTTGTTTTGGGGTTTAAAAAAACTGTATATGGATGCAAATGTGTGCCTCCTATGTGTGTGCACACTCACTTGCTTGGTGCAGGCAGAAGCTAGGACGTCAGATCCCCTGGAACTGGAGGTGCAGACAGTTGTGAGTTGCCATATGGGTGCTGGAGACAGACCTAAGTCCTTTGGAGGAGCAGCCAGTGCTCTTCCCTAGTTAACCATCTCTCCAGCTCAAAACTCACTGTTATGTCCCCTAATTAAGACGACTAATTCCTAAGTAAAGTACCCTATTGTAAAAGCTTATTATCAGCTGGCCACACTCACCTATTGGGATTTGATTTTGATATCAAGAACCAAGTATTTGGTTCCTTCAAGAGGTATAGTTTAATTATACCATAGTGTGCTTTTGATTTTGAATGGAAACAATGCACTGATTTTTGGATGAGGAGTTCATACTCATACTTAGTGTCTGTATAGGATTAAGATCACAGAGACAGGGCTCATGCATGCTAGGCAGCAGGAGGCAGTCTTTAGGGTGGGGGTAGGTAGGGAGTGCCTCATTTAAAGACCTAGTTCATGCCTGAGATGAATGAGGGAGCAAGTCACTGTAGTGGAGTCATTCAGGGATAGGGCCGCCCGGACAGAAACCACCTTGACAGAACTGCAGCAAGTGCTTGTCTGAACACTTAATGACTTAACGGCACATCAGCACACCTTTAATCCTAGCACCGGAGAGGCAGAAGCTCTATGAGTTTGGTGTGAGTGAGACCCGGTCTCAAAACAAAAATTATCTTCCTCAGACATTGAGAAAAGTAGTAGTTTTGATAATGTTTACAATTTTTATTTTTTGATGAATTAAATATACTTCTTTGGAAAACAAAAACCACTAAAATCTGGGTATTTTCAATTTGAGGTTATTTTATTGAAATTACTGAAAATGCTCCCATTAGGTTGCGAAGATCAGGCTATTTATTCTAGCTGATATTTAGGAGTATTTTAAAAGGCTTTTATTTGTCATGCACTGTATAATAACTACTGGCAGAACATTACAGACCTTACAGACTCCTCGGAGTTTGTCTAGAGCATTCCAAGTGAACTGCTTGTATTCCCAGTTACTCTAGCTGATAATCGCATGTGTGTCCTGCAAAGAAAACAACACTGCTTTAGATCTCTCTATTCTCTGCCCACCCACCCCCATCTCCACACACACACGCACACACGCCTGAGGAGGATGTAGTGTGTCCCTTGTGATACAGGATTTATCGTTGCGTCTGAACAAGACTGGGTTATGGGATCATTGACATATTACACATTTCATGTTGGTACTGGGATTTCAAACTGGTGACCTCATTTTCACAAACTCAGATCAGTCCTGCTGGCTTCATTTCCCAAGTGTTGGAATTACTGGCATGAGCCTAGCACATTCAGTACTACTCCAACCTGAAATTCTGGACTATTTTTAAAGTTTTATGTATTTATGTACATGGGTGCTCTATATGAATGTCTGCCTGCATGATGACACATATATATAGATGGTTGTGAGTCACCATGTGGTTGCTAGGAATTAAACTCAGTCAGGACCTCTAGAAGAGGTCTTAACGGCTGAGCCATCTCTCTAGCCCCAAGTTCTGGAATCTTAAACAATACTTTCTCTTTGATATATGTATGTATGTATGTATGTATGTGTATATATGTTCAGCATCCTTAACATCTTTTAGTGTCTTCTGGCAGCATTTAAAGGTTACTTTTACCCCTTTAAAATAGTTCTTATTCTGTTTCTCATTCTTGCAGTCACATTTCTTAAAATAGTACCCATTCTTTTTTCCCGACACAGGACAATCTCCTTTCCACTTGTCTATTAGCCTTGCAGCCTTGCAAGTATTATTCTGAGCATGTTTTAGACACTTTGTGAATGGGGTAAACTCTCATAAGCTCTTGCCTTCTCTTGTTCTGTTTGCTGATAGTTTCCCATTATCTGGCAGCTCAGACCACTTTGTTTCCAGCCCAAGCACCATGTTCATAGTTTCATCGCTTAACTTCTGAACTGTGTACACAAATGGAAAAATAGTAATAATGTTCTCATGGAGAATCAATTCTTAACTTTGAGATAGTTGCTTAGATGCCTTGTTACAATACAGATTACTGCCATAACTACAAAGGGTCAACCTGAGAATCTAATCTGCAGGATTTGTGGGGTTTTTTTTTTTTTTGCGGAGCTCCCTGTAGATAGTGGCATATGGACTTTAAGAACCGGTACATTCAGAAACCAAAGTGAGCTATTAAGGGAAGTGTAAGAGTTGGGCTTTATTTAACATTAGGAAGCAGTAAGCTTACCCTTTTAACCATCCATTGTGTACTCAGTGCTCACGAGTAACTAAATGTCACTTTGCGCCCACCCTGTCCCACCTCCTGGGTTTCCATTGCTGCCCTGAGAAACTGTCCTAACTTCTTCCCAGAGTGTCAGTCCGTCAGTTCTGCCACCAAGCCTGTGCCACTGAGAGCTGCTCTCTGCCCGCCTTTCTGCTCCCTTTTCTGCGCCTCACTCAGCCTGTGGCCTAGCGTTGCGTTACAATTGCTCTCTCTGCATCTCCTCACTCCTTTCATAGCATGATAAAAAGCTACTTCCTATTTAAGTTACTTGTAACCCTTTTAAAATAAAGTACAACGTCCTTTCCATGACCTATACTCAACCATTACTTTATACCGCTAGTTCACAGGCATGTGTCACTACCAGTTTCTTCATGTATGAACGGATAGGTAGCAGTTTACTTAAATACTGTCAGTACTTTTCAGTTAAATACCTGCTTCTGTAGAGAGGGGGTTTTGTTTGTATTTTGTTTATTTTCTTTGGAGGATCCAGAGCAGTCAAGGATGATCATACCAAGGAAGTCTTGAGGCAAGCAGATGAAAAGGTCTTCAGACACTCGGTTTGAGTAGCAGAGGGGCCTTCAATACAGTGGGCATCTTCCTGAGGTTAGAACCAGGAACCTGATTAGTAAGAGCATGTTAGTCTAAAAAGCTTGAAAATCATCCTAAAAGCTATATAATAAACCATTGGATATTTGTGTTTCAGAAAGATAATACATTTGGCAAGCAAGGAGATAAGAACTCACTTTGTTAGCTTGAGAGGCGTGAATGAAGTCATTAGGATTCAAAAGATTTATAGCAAATTACAGATTATAGTGAAGAATACACCTCGTCATTGTGGGTTGAAGAGAATGCTGCCTTTCTGTCTTTCCAGTAGATGAAATCAGCTCTTGGCCAACAACAGTGATGATAACTGCTTATATGACGTCTACTTCTGAACCAGTAGCACAACTCTAATCTGGTTTTAGCATTTGTAGTTAATACTACAAGCAGCGGCAGCTGAGTGTCAGTCAGGCACGTGATTGTAACATTTGGCTTGCGTCCTTCAGCTAAGATGTCTGTTTTCTTTGATATGATGACTATAAATGAGGAAACAAGGCATGTGGTCACGTGACCATTTGACAAGACTATAGTTAGGTACCTGATACACTTTAATTCTTTAAAAGCCCATTCCTAACCAGCTGCACATGTTTTTATATTTAAACTGTTTTCATCATGGATTAGAAATTAGTAAATACATGCTAAAAAGATGCTCAGCAATTGAGAGATCTGGCTGTTCTCACGGAGGACATAGGTTCAATTCCCAGCACCTACATTGTGGCTTATAACCATGTGTAACTCCAGTCCCAGGAACTCAACTGGCACACACACATGGTATACTTACATGTTTTCAGGATGTTCATCCACACAGTAAAATAAGTACATCTTGCTTTTGGTATATTCTACTTCATCTTATGTGATAATATTTTAAAGAGAGTAGTGTTTCCTAGGATGTAGAACGTTCAGACCCTTGTTGAGTCCTCAGCATCACACAAAACATTTAAAATAAAAACATTAAAGGTATTTTCACATTAGCAGTTTTCACAATCCATGTCAAGTCAGACATCAGGGATGGTGAAATTCAAGTCCTGGAGCCCATAGTATGGGAGAGAACCCACTCTACTGTTGATACTGTTGACACATGTCCGATACATAGAACGTTACTTTTATTTACCAAGTAGAGTAGTTGGAGGACACTCATTTTAGGCAGTAGGAACGTTGTGGCCTTGCTTCACCTGCAGCTTGCACTTGCTTGTACTGATGTAGCTGTGCCTCTGTGAGCGTGTGCTGGATGCCCAGGACTGCAAGGCCTCTTACCTGGTTGTGTCGTTTCAGATTTGGACGGTGCACTGCTCTCAGGGCCTGATGGTGATAGGACTGTGAACACAAATTTATTGGCTGAAGCCTGCAGTGGTCAAGATGCAGGAGATGCTGGTAGGTGCTGTTAAGATGCTTTAAAAAGACAATGAAATGATGTGAGCCCATTGATGTGATGCGTGTTTGAATACACGGCATTATCTAGGGAGTACTTTTGAGCAGTTATCTGTGAAGAGAAATTTAAAAACACAGGCAGGCAGTACAAAGCCCTAATGGTTGGAAAGACAAAGACATACAAAGGACCGCTAGACATTAGAGACTAAATTGATACTATGGATCTTGAATCAGGGGAACAGTTGCGAATATGGAATATGGATATGTATTATTTGTTAACAAGTTGGGGTCTTTCAGAATTTGAAATATGCTGCGTGGCCTTTACTGATAGAAGAAGCAGAAATAGAAGTTGACATCTCTCATTCAAAAACTTGAAAATGCTCCAAAGTCTGTTTTTTTTTTTTTAAGCACAACATGATATTCTAAAAATATTCAAGATTTGTGAGGTTTTTAGATTGTGGGGGTTTAGATAGGAGATATCTTTTTTTATGGGGGCATTAAAGGCATGTACCACCACTGCCCAGCTAGATTAGAAATTTTAACCTGTATTAATTACATGAGTGAATGCTGCACTTGTTTCAGGAATGTTACAAGTGCTTTGCAGGGAGCCTACTTACCTAGCATACATGGAGAAACCTCCCAGAGGCCCTTGCGTTGGGATGAGCAGCCTAGAGGGGCAGTGGAAGGAAGGGACGGAAGGACTCTCAGATTATTGAAAGTGGAGACTTGGCTCTGAGTTAGGTGGGTAGCCTGACCGGCTCTGAATTAGTTTGTTTGCGGTTTGATCTGGCTTTGTGTCATCTTACCTCAGGCTCCCAGTACTGTGTCTTTAATGTCTTGAGAAAAACTGTCTAGCAGCTGTGGTGCCCAGTTTTGAGAAGGGAAGGCAGACAGCACCAGGGTGCTGAGTTAGTTGAAGTCATTCAAAAAACTACAGAGCAAGTTCAAGGCCAGCCTGGATTGCATAAGACTTGAGTGGGAACTGGGTAGCAAGTTGGCAGCCACTGAAAAAGAACCCAAATGTTAGAATTGTTCATTGATTGGATTGAATGGCAAAAACTGCTGATGCTGTATACTTACATGCAGAAAATTCTATTTGTGTGTGTCTATTTGGAACCCAGAAAGAGGTCATTCCTGGCTATGTACTTACCTGTTGTTGTTTTTGTTTTGTTTTAACTATAGACTAGGATTTTGTTCCTATTAAGCTCACACTATTGGAGGTTCAAGAATTTTATATATATTGTTGCAGTATGGAAATCGAATCCAGGACCGGGTGTTTTATTTAGGTTTTGGAGGGAATAGGGTAGTTTTTTGAGATAGGATCTTGTACGTGGCCACGTCTGACTCCAGATTCCTAGGAGTACAGGTATAAACAAAGCAGGTACATGGGTCTTTATTTAGTGTACATTAAATAGCTTATCATTGTTCTTATAAGTGTATTTTGTTTTCCCGGGCTGTAATTAAGAGATAAAACTTTCCCTCCAGCCATTTCCTCAATCACTTACTTTTCAATTGTACTAGGAGCATCACATGATTTCAAGTATGCGTTGCTACCTGGCACTTCAAGTGATTTCAAGTATGAGTTACTACCAAGTACTTCAAGTGATTTGAAATATGGATTGCTACAAGGTGCTCCGAATGATTTCAAGTTCGGATTATTGCCAGACTCTTGGCCCAAACAAGAAACATGGGAAAATGGCAAGTATTATCGACAGATAATTAAAAGCTTCCATATTCTGAGATTTAAAAAAATGAGTAGTTGTGCTAATAGTGGGCATAGAAGTGTTGATAGCTTCTGCTTGGTTTTATATTTATATTAAACAGTACTTCTTTCCCTTCAAGGTGACTCATCTCTAATCATGAACAAGTTAAAATGCCCTCACTGTAGCTATGTAGCCAAATACAGACGAACACTAAAAAGGCACTTGCTCATCCATACTGGAGTAAGATCGTTTAGCTGTGACATTTGTGGAAAGCTGTTTACAAGAAGAGAACATGTAAAAAGACATTCCCTGGTAAGTGAGTGACCTTAAACCTGGCTGATCATGGAGATGAGTGTTCTTATGCCAGTGATGTTTCAAGCATTTTATTTGCAAATTTAAAGGATGATTTAAGCTGCTTTTAACAGGATTTTTTAAAAGCAGCTGATGCTTTACTTCATTCAGAAAATATTAATTAGCTATCCATTCATTACTGAATTTGAATGGCTCAAATGTGTTTATCTGTTTCCTCCTTTCAATTAGGTGCATAAAAAGGATAAAAAATACAAATGCATGGTGTGTAAGAAGATCTTCATGTTAGCGGCCAGTGTTGGAATAAGACATGGATCTCGACGCTATGGAGTATGTATGGACTGTGCGGATAAATCACAGCCAGCCGGGCAAGAAGGTGTAGATCAGGGACAGGATGCAGAGTTCCCCAGGGATGAAGAGTATGAGGAGAATGAAGGAGGAGAGCCTGAGGACGAGCTGGCTGAGAATGGAGACGATCAGAACGACGTGTCTCGATGGGATGAATCAGGAGATGTTTGTATGTCTCTGGATGATTAACTGACCTACTATATTCCTCAAGAATGCTGCATTTGGACATACTATGAATCGACAATTTGGATTGTTGAACTTGAAGGCTTGCAAAATATGGTACATGCTGGATGGTAGTTATGTTGCTGTGAAAACTGTAGGGTTAAAGCCTTATAGGAAAAAAAAAATTTTTTTTTTTGTTTTTTTTTATATTTGCACAGGACTGTACAGCAGACAACCATGTGGTTGGATACACGGAGTCCCCACATTCAGTCAGTTATCAAAGTAAAATATTTTTATTTATAGGATATACAGTTAACTATTGGGGTTCTATAAAACACAGAACTTGTCCTTTATAGAGTCTACATTCATGTGCCACTTGAACATGAATGAAAGTCCATTTATGGAAGGACAGTGACAGTTGACCCAATCACTCTGTCAATCAAACCACTCAGGCTAGTTTGTACTAGTAGAGTTTTGTTTCTATTTTTATTTTATTAATTTTATTTTTTTAAGACAGATTTTCAGTGAGGGGCCTTTTCAACCCCATTGGTTCTGTTTTCTTGTATTTTTTTTTCATTTGCTTCATAACTTAAACCAAGTGTCTTCTGTCTTAGATATTATTCTTAATTTGTGCTGATAGGCGTGTTTATAAGAACTGGAGAGGTAATTTATTGGAATGAACTAAGTGACTCCCCTGTCCCTCCCTCCCTTTTCTGACATGAATTTTACTACTTCACGAATGAAGAATGATGTTGCGAAGTTGCCATGGTGAAGATGATAAATACCACTAAAATGATTATGACTTAGAAGTGACTTTTTCCTGCTGCTCGGATCTGATAAATGGTTACTATATGATGTTTCCTGACATGGTTTTGGTTTTGGGTATCTGTTACTTTGGCACTATTCTTGTTTGCCTCTTTTTATTTTTGCCAGTGTACTATACCTCAGCCTTATGAAATACAGACGTATAATTGAAGAAAAGTCATAGAAAAATACATGAAATGATTTGTTTTATAATTTACCCTCCATGTCCAGTTTGGCTAGTCTGTTATGCAATATAAGTGAAATATCAGGTTTTTCCTCCTGTGCCCTTTTTTATCATTAAAATCAACACAAAATGTGCATTCTCTTTTGTTTCATACTTACCGGGATGTTGAGTGTTTTTTACACTGTGGCTGATAATTTATTTTCCATTCCTTAAAGTCCCCACAGCTTGAAGAGATCTTTATAGTTACCGTGATCCAACAATCTGCAAGAATACCGCAAATGAAGTGTTCAGAGCCCTTATTGTCCATTATTAAATTCTTCAGTTGAATTTGTTAGATTTATTTTGCCTGGTGACAGATGAATTAGCAGATAGTGGAACTCTGAGCAGATTTTTTTACATGCTAACATGACAACAAGTATCAGGAGCATATTGTATATTGTATAATATTGAGAGACAGCATATTTTCAACTTTCTTTTAAATACAAATTGAGTATATTTTCCTATTTTATATCAGGTAACTAAATTACGCCAGTTGCGTGGGAGAAAACCACAGAGCTGCTTTGACAGATAGTCTTTTGGTGCTCCATCTAGTCAAAGTTGAGAAGCTAATTTTCTCTTTAAAGAGATAGACTTGATCATTGCCTCTGATTTCAGTAGAATGATGGTTTGATATTGACAGTGACTTTCTGCATGGATAGGTCAGAGAGGAGATACTAGTGTTTCCTTGTGAGATGCACCTGGCGCCCTCCAAGTTCTGATGGCAGTCTCTGCACACCGGGGAGCCTGGCAGAAGAGTGTCTTGTTTGGGTTTGACTTTTGTTTGAATTGAAGAGTACACCTTATTCTCAGTGTTTGAAACAAACGAGTACAATGTAACTCTAGTAAACTCCAAAGTAGACATAGTCGGGCAGAAATATTATGAATGAAAAAGTATTTTAAAGGTAAATGTTCTGCTTTGTGAATATGTAAGTATAGTATAAAGATTTCTTTCATCCCATTTATGCCCTCCCTTTAAAATAAACATAGTTTACAATGGGTAGATCTGTCTATATATAAATATATATTAAAGAGCAAATATATATATTTAAAAATCACCTAAATCTGCTTTATTAGACAGTAGTTCACTTATTGCATAGAAACTGGACTTGGCTTTACATTCTTAATGTACTTTATTTTACTCGAGAAATGACCTTATCTTGAAACAGAATTTCTTTTATTACTTAAAATCGTTTATGTATATCTGGTAAATTATGACCAAATTTTTGTTAGATTGCATACAGTAAATTGAAATACACATTTGGTACACTACGGGATTGTTGTGCTTTTGTTTTGGTTTTAGTTGGAAACAAGTTTGATGTAGACGACTTATTACTGTTAATTTAAAAATATTCTATAATTGTCCATTGCCTTTTATGTCGTGTTGTGACAGATTTGGCTATATTTTTAGTCATCTGAAATATACTTTAAAAAGTTTGTTTTTAGGTAATCCAAAGGAAAAAATGTTTATACTCTTGAATATATATTTGCCTCAGCCTATATAAAAGTTTCTTTGAAGTAAACACTTTACCAGAAACAGAATTGACAGATTTTTCTACTTGCTGACTGCCTAAGTTATTTTGTTTCATGGTCTTGAAGGAATTACCTTTTTCCTTCTAGATCTTTTTTAAAAATACTTTTAGTACTAAGGTATACTACTGGACGTTTCTATTTTTTTAAGTATATTTCTTTTCTGACAATACAACTTCAGGAAATTGATAAATTGCTTAAGAACTTTTGATTGGTCTCAGAAAGGTAATGGATTGAATACTCATAATTTTGTCTGGAGCCTGGCAGAGTTATGTTGTACATTTGGTGAAGTTTTTCTTGTAATTTATATTTTAAATAAAATATTTTTAGAGTTTTTAATTTTAATGAAGGGGAAGAGCATACACTTTCATATTCCACAGTGATAATGCCATGTCATAAATTCAGATTACATGTTATTTCTCCCAGACAGACTTCTTCCATATGGCCCCTCATTTGTCATGGTTCTTAACTCTCATTTTTTTTTTCTTATTTTCTAGACAGGTTGCTAAATTTTAACACCCTAGTGATCAGGAGCTTGGGGGTGTGCAGTATTATATTGGCAGAGGAAAATGGACAATAACCAGTAGTTTTAAATTTGGGGGTAAAAAACACTACCTGGCTTAAGTTGAACCATCCTAATGAAGAGTGAGTTAATTCATTGCATTTTCAATAAATACCAGAGCACACCAAATATGCAGTACATACTAGTTGTTTGTTAGTAGATATGAGCCACGAGGAAAAAGTAAAAGCTAGTATAAAGGGAGAAATCAGGAAGGAAGTTAAGGCCTGGGACTTGGAAAGGGCTGGACCATGCCTGAGGGTAAAATGTGGGGAGCAATGACAGGCAGGCTCTGAGAACGTAATGGTGTATCGTTTGAGCTTTCTCTGAACGTGGTATAGGAGGGTTAGAACCATTCCCCTGACTCTCTTGGTATGCCTACGCCTTTGTGTTGTCTGCCTTATTTTTTTCTAGTCTCTAAAGTAGGTGCTATTCTCTTTTACAGATGAGGCTCAGAGAAACTCCGGGCCCTTGCCTGACTAACTACCACAGCTTACCAGATCTGGTTGTGAGCCCAGCTCTTTTAGGAGGCTCTATCAGTGCCTCATAAAACAACCTTTTTTTGTAAATTTATATTCTTCCTGTAAAATGGCTACATTAGGAATTTTGTATTCTTTCAGACCTCCAGTGAGCATCCTTACCACACTTTTCTTCTGGTAGAGTTGTTTTTGTCAGTGACTTAACACACCTCAGTGTAGGCGATGCTAATAGTGAGCTGTGACATTTCCACTTTTTAAAAGGATGGTTTTTTAGTCTGAAGAACTAGTGTAAGCCTCATTTTTTGTGCCGTTCAGTCACCCGGATCCTTAAGCTTAACTATGGTACCTAACCTCCACAGTTAGAACTTGGTCATTTTAGGATTGAAAATAGGATTATTTATTTTGTTCCTTCCCTGCTGTATCCCAGCCTTCAAGTGAAGTTGAACAAGGTAGTTTAAAACATGTTAGGGATAAGCACACTTTCAAAGATGTTTTGTAGCCCTAAATTTTAGAATATTTTGGGTATTAAATCTGGAATATACAAGCTACTAAGAACAAAATTTGGGGTTCAGGAAATAGGTGATTGAGGCCATCATGATGTGGGAGAGTCAGAATCTTAAACACTGTAAACAGAAAACTTTCTTCTGCCTGCTGTTTGTAAAAGCTCTCTGGGAAGATCTTTTACAAAGACCAATTTTTTTTTTTTTAATGTAATTTACCTACCTACTATAAGTGTCCTGAGACATGTATGTAAACCTCCAAAACCTGTTTGTCTGTGTATTTAGAAAATACACAAGAATCTTTATCAAATTTAAAATATAAACTTGTGAGCACTAAACTGCTTCTGGCTTTGTGGATTTTATTAATATTTAATTCTGATTTATTTTCAGGTGTGTTAGTTTAGACTCACTGGGCAAAGGGAACAACCTTTGTAAACTGGGGACATTGAAATGTGGAGTCTGATGAGGTCTCTGTTTTACATGTGTGTGGAAGCACATCAGACTACTCCAGACCTTTCATTGATAGACAGCAGGGGTTTGCACTTGTTATTCAGAAAACATCTAAAAGTTGGCCGTGATTCACATTTGTGAATTCTCTTGGGAATGGGTTGAAAATCAAAGTTGAAACACTATCCCATACATGCTGTTTATTTGATTATAAGTAAATATAAGGTTACAGGTTTTTAGTCTTTGAACCTTATAGAGAATGCACATACGAGTTTAAGTTGCCTCCTTCCCTTGATGGTGGTGGACCTCGATGTAGTGTAGGCTAACCTTAAACTCCCAAAGTCCTTGTGTCCTGGCCTCTGAATGTCCACTACACCCAACTTCTGAGTCTACAATAGAACACAGGAACTCACAATAGCCACATAGCCTGCCTACTAGAGAAATGACTACTCAGGTTGGTGATGGGCAGATCAAGTGGGGAGACATGTAACATATGTCATGGTGACCTTTCAGGTAAGACGTGTCCCGTGTGGTTCCAAGCCGGAATGATGACCAACTCTTATTTACTCTAAAAGTCTGAATGTTCCAAAGATGAAACGGAGCCGCTTAGGGGTTGGGGAATTCCACTACTGAATGTTCTAGATGTATAAAACATAAGTTAACAGTCATCTTGGCTAAAGCACTATTAACCAAACATTTTTGTTTCACAGTGAACTCTTGTTACTTTTTAAAGAGTTGGGGACCAACATAGTTGCCAACATTTTATCTCCTTGTTTAGTACATGAAGTAAAATTGATTAAAATATTGTGCTATTTGTGTGCAAATATTTAAAGAAGGTTGTTTTGACACTTAACAATTTGGAATTCACATTTAGCCTTACAAAAAAATGCTGTATAGACTTTTCACTATAAATCTTTGTGATGGGCTAGGGTTTGAGACCTGGCAAAGAAAGTTACAGAATTTATTTGAGTAGTTGATTTTAAAACCGAGCCTAGCATGATGGGTCATGACTTCCATTCCAGTACCCCTAGAGGTAGAAACAAGATGACCTCTGTAAGGGTGAGGCCAGCTTGATGTAAATACCAGGTTTTGGGACAACCAAGACAAGGAGACCCTGTCTCAAAAAACAAGAATTCTTTAGTTTTAGAGTTTATAGTCTTTGACATAATTATCATTTTAAAGTTAGTAAATTCTAGAGGTACAAAAAAGAACTGGGAGATTTCTAAAGAAAAAAAGACACGCACACACAAACACATACACAGCTCCAAGCTGGGTGTGGTAGGACACATCTCTAACCCTAGCACTCAAGTGATGGAGACATGCTTACTGGCCTACATAGTAAAGCCTGTCTCAGTGTAGTGCTGGCTCCTGACAGCGCAGTGTCTTCCTTACAGCATACATCTTTCCTATCAACCAGGTACAGTTCAGTCTCTTCACAGTATGGTCGGCCTTAAATCTGATTTTAAAACCTAACCTTTCAAGTACAGTTAGGTTGTCTGTTAGATCCCAGAGGGACAGAAGTCCCCTGTCTTGGTGCACAGCACAGCAGCCAGTTCCTGGTTCCTGAGAGAACAAAAGTTTCAGGAGGGAAAATGGGAAGATTGAGTAGAAAGGACTAGAAAAACCATTACGATGACATCGTGGAGAATTTTAAGGCCTAGGACTCCTGAAACCTGGTTTCAGTATTTGTTTCAAGCTTGTTCCATTTGGACGTGGTTCCAGTTGTGAAATGTCGTGGGTGACCATACTTCAAGACTATACGATTAGCCCTTTGACACAAAACCATGTGAACAGGTACCCTAGTCAAGTGTCACATATCTGCAAAGAGGAATATTGAATCTTGTCCATACTTTGTCATATGAGAGACATTGCATTGAAAGTTAAGGTGGAGCGTAATGTCCCTGTCTATTCCAGTGTGTGTGGGCGGGGGGTGGGGGGCACAAATGCTGTGGTCTGTATGAAAGTTAGAGACAACTTAGTGGAGTCGGTTCTCTTCTGCTTGATTGTGGGTTCCAGGGTTAACCTGGGTCTTAATCTTTACCCAAGGAGTCAACTCCCAGCACTGCTTTGAAACAGGGTTTTGCTGTGGAGCTCAGACTGGCCTACGAGTCATTGATCTTCTATAGTGCTAGAATTACCGGTGTGCCCTGCCACACTCTTTATGTTGCTTTTCCTCTGTGTGTGTGTGTGTGTGTGTGTGTGTTCGTTCTTATTTGGGATTCTGATGTGTGTAGGAGCTAAGAAACTTGCTTTAGAGAAACAGGCAATAAGTCTCTGGCCACGAGACCAGTCCAGCCAGCAGCATAGATCTGTGAGCACATCGGTGTGCTCTGATCCTGACCAGCCTGGGCAGCAGGTTGGTTGGTTTTCCCAGATCAGTATGTCTTCTCCCTTTGGTAGTACACTGAAGAATGCCATGCCCTCTTAGCACCAACACCTGTGAATCCCTTCCTTTCTGGAGGTGAAGTCTGCAGTGACAAGCAAAAGTCCTTTACGATAACAGCATTGATTAAGCAGCAAGGTCTTAATAGGAACCCAATGTGTTTCCCTGTCTTGACACCCTGGTTTCCATGACAGAAAGCACAAATACTTGAAGTTCAGAAATGCATTCAGAACTTATTGAGACTTTTTCTTGCCAATGAAAACGGGCCTTTTGCAGCTCAGTAGTGGTTCACGCAGGAGGCAGAGGCAGGTGGAGTTCGAGGCCAGACCAGCCTAGAGACCCATTTCTAGGCAGCCAGGATTACACAGAGAAACCCTGTCTGAAGAAACTAAGAGAATAAATAACCGAAACAAACTACCCCAAAACAAAGCAAGGGCTGGTGTTCTCTCCGTCCTCCATCTTGGATCTCCTCCCTACTACTTCCTCTCTCCTCCGTGTCTCCTAGTCCCGCCTATCTTGCTTTCCAATCGGCCAACAGTGCTTTATTCATTAACCAATAAGAGAAACATTTACAGAATGACATCTCCCAGCAGATGTAGCTCAGTAAGGATTGCTTCCCGTACATGTGCAGACCCTGGGTTTGACCTCCCAAATTTCCACCAGTTAGTTCTAAAGGATGTTATTAGAAAGTTCTGTTCCTGGAGCTGGAGAAGTGTCTCCCTGGTTAAGAGCACTGGCTGCTCTTGTAAAGGACCCGGGTTCAGTTCCCAGCACACCCATGGCCGCTCACAACTATAACTCCTGTTCCACGGGATCCGACACACACAGGCATGTAGGCAAAATAAATAAGTAAAATCAATAGCCGTTTACAAAAAGAGAAGTTCTGTTTCTTCCATCTAACGAGATTTCCCGTAGGAATGTCAAACGTAATCAGAAAAGATATTGTCGAATTCTGTGAGCATAGTCACTGAGGCATGATGGTCGTTATCACACGGTTTCTGCACTTGGCTGAACCCATCACAACCTACATTCTGGTGCTCTTGGGAAGCTCATTGCCAGTCCACCCGTTGCCCACCATTGAACATTTCTAAGGACCCCATAGAACTGGCACTGTCAACTCCACCCGGTGCTGTGTCCCCGTAGCCCCAGTTACTTTGGAGGCTGAGGCAGGAGGACCTAGCCATGAGGAGTTTGAGGCCAACCTGGGCTATTTAGTAAGACCCAAGGCAAAGCTTTCTTTCTAGGTTCCAGTGACCACAGTGGTTAATCTCTGAGTTATCCTAACCTCTCTTCAGAGCTCACAAAAACTTAGAGGCACACAAGATCCTGAGGCGTAACCCTCATTAGGTAATAGTTTCTTGGTTTCTGTTGCATGTTGTCAAAGGTCAGATTCATATTTTACTCCATGACGATTACAATAAACAATGGCAAAGTCACTTTTAGAAAAACTAACCACCTTCGGGCAGGTAATGTAGCTTAATTGCTGGGGTGCTTGCCTTGCATGCACGTGAAGCCCTGGGTTTGGTTACTAACACCACATAAAACCAAGGCGCATAGCTGCTGTCTCAGCCTTCACACTGGAGGTAGTGTAGCAAGTTCAAAGCCACTCTGATTAATTCGCCGCAGAAAACCAGCCAGCACACTGAGGAGAGCTGTTTGTGGTCTTCCTTTTAGACATCTTGTTCATAGACATCTTGACTTTGAACTGCCCCCCCTACCCGGTTTTCTGAGACAGGGTTTCTTTCTATTGCTTTGGAGCCTGTCCTGAAACTGTAGTGCTGTAGACCAGGCTAGGCTGGCCTGGAACTCACAGAGATCCACCTGCCTCTGCCTCCCTAGTGCTGAGATTAAAGGTGTACGCCGCCACAACCCGGCTTGAGGGTTTATTTTCTTTAATTGCATTTCAGATCATATTCGAAAAGAAATGAGAAGTATTTTTATTTTTCTTATTAAATTCTTATGAAACCAAATCTCAAAAGTCTCCAGCCTTTTATCTTCCCTCCATTCCTCCCTCTCTCCCTCTTTCTTTTTTCTTTTTGAGACACGTTGTCTCTATGTAGCTATCCCTGCCTGTCCTGGAACTCACTACGTCAACCAAGCTGGCCTCGAACTCCCAAAGATCTGCCTGCCTCTGCCTTCCAAGCACACAGATATTAAAACCACCATGCCTGGGTCCCATGCTATTTCTAATTTTGCTTCTTTTGCTATTTTTATGCTGTGTGTGTTGGGGGGTATTGTGGACTTGTGCGTGACTATTTTTATGCTGTGTGTGTTGGGGGGGCACTGTGGACTTGTGCATGGCTATTTTTATGCTGTGTGTGTTGGGGGGGTACTGTGGACTTGTGCATGGCTATTTTTATGCTGTGTGTGTTGGGGGGGTACTGTGGACTTGTGCATGGCTATTTTTATGCTGTGTGTGTTGGGGGGGTATTGTGGACTTGTGCATGACCGTGTGCCTGTACGCGCCTGTTGCAGGCAGCATCAGTGTCCTGCTCTCTCTTTCCGTTT